GGCTAATTTTTGACTTATTGTGGAAATGAGGTCTCACCAAGTTGCCCAGGTGGGTCTTGAACCCGCGGGCTCAGGCAATCCACTCACCTCAGCCTCCCAAAGGCGCGGGATTACAGGCTGAGCCACCGAGCCCGGCTAGTTGGTTGGTTTTTTTTTGAGTCAGTGTCTCACTCTGTCGCCCAGACTGGAGGGCAGTGGCACGCTCATGGCCACTGCAGCCTCAATCTGCTGGGCTCAGGTGATCATTTCACCTCAGCCTTCCAAATATCTGGAACCACACAGGGTTATGCCACCACGCCCAGCTCGTTTTTTGATTTATTGTAGGAGATAAGGTCTCACCATGTTATCCAGGCTGGTCTCAAACCCCTGGGCTCAGGAAGTCCTATCGCTTCCGCCTCCCAAAGGACTGGGATTACAGGCATGAGCCATCGTGCCCAGCTTTTTTTTTTCTTCACCGAGTTGGAGTCTCACTGTCACCCAGGCTGGAGTACAGTGGCATGCTCACAGCCACTGCAACCTCGACCTGCTGGGCTTAGGCAATCCTTCCACCTCAACCTTTCAAGCAGGTGGACTACAAGGCATGTGTCACCACACCCAGCTAATTTTTTTTTTTTAATTTATGTAAAGATGAGTTCGGGCCAAGTTGCCTAGGGTGGTCTTGAATCCCTGGGCTCAGACTGTCCTCTCACCTCAACTTTCCAAAGTGCTGGGATTATAGGCATGAGCTACTGCGTCCAGGTTTTTTTTGAGTCAGAATCTCACTCTCACCCAGGCTGGAGTGCAGTGACATGATCATGGCTCCCACAGCCTTGACCCGTTGGGCTTGGGCAGTCCTACCTCAGCCATTCAAGTAGCTGGAATTATAGGCACACATCCCCATGCCTGACTATTAATTTTTTTTTTTTTTTTTGAGTTGGAGTCTCACTCTGTCACCCGAACTGGAGTGCAGTGGCCGCTCTTGGCCACTGCAGCCTCGACCTGCTGGGCTCCGGTGATCCTTCCGCCTCAGCCTTCCAAGTAGCTGGAATTACAGGCGCGCACTACCACGCCTGGCGTATTTTTTGATTTATTGTAGAGATGAGGTCTCGCCATGTTTCCCAGACTAGTCTCAAACCCATGGGCTCAGGCATTCCTCTCGCCTTAGCCTCCCAAAGTGCTGGAATTACAGGCGTTAGCCACTGCGCCTGGCACTTTACTTAGCTTTTGTCCAGGTGTTTGACATTCTGGCATTTACTATTGGGGCAATATTGCTATAAACACCTTTGTAACTTTTCCTCCTTATGAATTATTCACTGGGGTTGTATCTCCAAATAAATCAGAGAGCATAGACAATTCAATAAATCCACTCACTTAGATCATTACCTAATATTTAATCTTTATCCACAACACATTGTAAATGATGATAGCTTAAGAATTGAAACAGTTTTATGGATTTTGTGTGCTGTAGTGATCATGTCATCATTGGTTTTATTCTAACTTCCTCCCAGGGTATATGAGTGTAACAAGCGCTGCAAATGTGACCCAAACATGTGCACAAACCGGCTGGTACAACACGGGCTGCAGGTTCGGCTTCAGCTATTCAAAACACAGAACAAGGGCTGGGGTATCCGCTGCTTGGATGACATTGCCAAAGGCTCTTTTGTCTGTATTTATGCAGGTTGGTGTTAAAATATAAGTGTTGCTTATATTCTCCACCTCAGGACTGGTTGGTGTTAAAATATAAGGTTGCTTCCACAGTGGGGAATTGAACCAGAGACAAGTTGAATATAAGAATAAAGTTCTTGGCATGTGGACTGAGGGTAAGAGGAAGCCAGGGACTTCTATAAAGAACATGGTGAGTGGTGCACCTGTCTAGGTGGACCAGAGAGATGGAAGTGTTTCATAAAAAAATGAAAGGGAGCCGGGCTCGGTGGCTCAGCCTGTAATCCCGCACCTTTGGGAGGCTGAGGAGAGTGGATTGCCTGAGCCCACGGGTTCGAGACCAGCCTGGGCAGGCGAGACCTCATCTCTACAATAAATTAAAAAAAAAATTAGCCGGGCGTGGTAGCGCGCGCCTGTAATTCTGGCTACTCGGAACGCTGAGGCGGAAGGATCGCCGAAGCCCAGCAGGTCGAGGCTGCGGTGGCTGGGAGCGGCCACTGCACTCCAGTCTGGGCGACAGAGTGAGACTCCAACTCAAAAAAAAAAAAAAAATGAAAGGGGAGATGTTTTGGACATGATGATATTTCAGAGGACATTATATCATTTTCCCCTATATCATTCTACCCAGAGATATTTTAGCATAACTAAGAACTCCCTTTCTATAAAGTAGAAGAAATGGGAAGACAGGGCAAGATTAAAACTACAGTAAGCTTCCCCATAGTTTCATAGTAAGACACACAGGATGTATCATCAAAGACAATGAGAGACCAGAATGAAAGCATTTTGATTCTTGTATACTGGGTGCTGATGGAGTGACCATTTTATTTTTCCTAAAAGTTTCCCATAATCCTAAAAGGCCTTTAATTCTCTAATTTTCCAGGCAAAATCCTGACGGATGACTTTGCAGACAAGGAGGGTCTGGAAATGGGTGATGAGTACTTTGCAAATCTGGACCATATCGAGAGTGTGGAGAACTTCAAGGAAGGATATGAGAGTGATGCCCCCTGTTCCTCTGACAGCAGTGGTGTAGACTTGAAGGACCAGGAAGATGGCAACAGTGGCACAGAGGACCCCGAAGAGTCCAATGACGATAGCTCAGATGATAACTTCTGTAAGGATGAGGACTTTAGCACCAGCTCTGTGTGGCGGAGCTATGCCACCCGGAGGCAGACCCGGGGCCAGAAGGAAAACGGACTATCGGAGACAGCTTCCAAGGACTCCCGCCCCCCAGATCTTGGGCCCCCACATATTCCTGTCCCTCCCTCGATCCCTGTTGGTGGCTGCAATCCGCCTTCCTCTGAAGAGACACCCAAGAACAAGGTGGCCTCATGGTTGAGCTGCAATAGTGTCAGTGAAGGTGGTTTTGCTGACTCTGACAGCCGATCATCCTTCAAGACTAGCGAGGGTGGGGTGGGCCGGCCTGGGGGAAGCCGAATGGAAGCCGAGAAGGCCTCCACCTCAGGGTTGGGCGTCAAGGATGAGGGAGACATCAAGCAGACCAAGAAAGAGGTAAGCACTGGCAGAAGACAGAGGTGGCTTGTAACTTTGTTGCAGCAACAAACTTAATGTAGTCTCACTGTGGGTCTTTGCATGTAGACTGTTTTACTTAGTGGATATTTCTGTGGCAACCTTATTATCTCCCCCTATAGATCCAGCACATTCTTAGTGTTTAAATCACTAAATTTTTTTTTTTTTTGAGTTGGAGTCTCACTCTGTTGCCCAGACTGGAGTGCAGTGGCCGCTCCCGGCCACCGCAGCCTCAACCTGCTGGGCTCTGGCGATCCTTCCACCTCAGCCTTCCGAGTAGCCGGAATTACTGGCGCGCGCTACCACGCCCGGCTGATTTTTTGATTTTTATTGTAGAAATGAGGTCCCGCCTGCCCAGGCGGGTCTCGAACACTAAATTATTTTAAAATCCACTTGCTTGGGGATAGGAGTAGATGAGTATCTGACTCATTCCAAAGTGAAGGATTTGTGAGTGATTTTTTTTTTTTTTTTTTTTTTT